CGCTGCATCCTGCCAGCCCCACAGCTAGCGGGAGGGCAGGAAGGGGTCCCTGTGCCTGGGAGCCTGTGTCAGGGCCCTGCTCCCAGACAGAGGCTGACATGCCAGGCAGCAGGGACTAGGTGCCCCCATCTGCTCCGGTGCTGCCTGAAGGGCTCGCAGGCTCTGGGTAGCCTTGAACCCTGCCTCAGTGCCAGGGCGGGTGCCCTGCGAGCAGCAGAACAGACGCAGCAGCTGCCCTCCCCCTCAGAGCCTCCCCACCCCCTCTGCGGGGGAAACAGGACGGGCTGAGAGCCGGTGCGGGGAGAGTGGACCCAGCAACAGTCCTCAGGAAAGGGACGGTGGCTGGAGGGAGGGAGGCAAGTGGGGGAGGAGGGGAAGCTCTGGCTTAGGAAGGGAGTCCTCCTCTGAGAAGGGACGTCCCTGGGATCCACCCTTTGGCACCCTCCCCACTGGGGCTTGTCCTCTCAGTGCTGCAGTCCTCCCCCTGCACGCACAGGAGACCTCACTCAGCACAGGGAGCAGGGCAGTCCCAGTGGGGGAAACTGAGGCACGGTGAGTACCAACCACTTAACAGCAGAGTGGGGGTAGGACCCAGGAGCCACCACCCCCCTGTCATCCCTCCCCTAACACCACTGCTTGCTCACTAGCTCCCTCTGTTCCCCAGCCCTGGGCACCCCTCCCTGGCCGGCAGGTCTCTGCTGCCCCCTAGTGGGACAGAGAGCACAGCTCAAAGACACCCTGTGCTGTCAAGCTGGGAGCTAATTAGAGAGACCACAAGGCTGCACAGCCCCACTCACCTGGGTCACGGCTCAGATCAGGACCCCCTTGTGCTCGGGGCCGCACAGAGTGAGAGAAACTCCTGGCTCCAAAGTGCTCACGATCTAACTAGACAAAGGACGTCTAATCTCCCTTGAGCAGCCATTGGGAGCCTGGGGAAGAGACAGGTATTGAAACCAAATCTCCTGGGTCACAGCCCAGTGCATCAGCTGTAAGCCCAGCCTGCCCCTGTCACACTGGACTGGCCCATGACCGTGACTGCTGGGACAGGCTGTCAAACATGGGGCAGGAGCGTGGCCTATAACTAGATTTCACTCACCAAGTGTCACGTTACTGGATTTCGTGGGGAGCAGCCAGATCACTGCTGCGCCCATGGGGAAGTGTTTGCCCCGAAAGTGGGTACAAATGGGCCATGTGAGGTGTCAAACAAAACCTTACTTTCTACTCATTCTGTATATGCTCTTCATATATCTGTATAGTATCTGGGTGTGGAGTTATGAATATATATTCTTCGTCAATACTGGAAACTTCTCTGTTTGTGGCTGAGCAATAGACAAGAAATGCTTAGTCCACAGACATGCTAATGAGCAAAGCTCCCAGGAACGGACCTCTGAAGGCCAAAGACATACCTGGCCACTGATCATGTGACTGTCCCCAGCGTGGAAGAAGCCAGGGGGGATATAAATATGCCATGTGGCCGACTCCATCTTGGAGCTCAGCTCAGCTCTTCATCCCAGATACAGGATTGCAGCGATCAATGAGCTGGAAAAACTGTGGACCCATCCTAACATAGGATGTACACCAAGGACCTTTAAGCCAGCAGTTATAACATCTCTGCTGCAAGCTTGCATGGAGAACTGGGAGATTCGATGCATGTAATGTATGATACGTTAACATCCTTACTCTCATGCTTTTCTTTCTTATAGTAATAACCCTTTAGATGTTAGATTCTAAAGGATTGGCTCAGCGTGATTTGTGGGTAAGATCTAGAGTGTATATTGACCTGGGATCTGTGGCTGGTTTCTTGGAACTGGACAGAACTTGTTTGGGGTAGGTGAGTTTGGGTTCTAAAACCCCTCACCTGTGGGCAGGCCCGGGGCCATATGGGGCATGGAGAGCGCTGGGGTGTCGGAGAGGTTTTGCTCATGAAGCTTCTGGCTGGCCAGAAGCACTCTGTGGGACTATTTGGGAATAAGAGATCCTCCGGAATAGGGCTTTATTCCGGAGGATCACGCCAGTCTGGACGCTTTTTTCCGGCTTTTCCCGAAGCCGGAAAAAAAGCGGTGGCCATGTTTATTTAAATCCCGCGAGGGATATTTAAATCCCCCGCGGATTTCCCTATTCCAAAGTTCTAAATTAGCATGGCTATTCCGAAGAAGGGGCCAGTGTAGACACAGCCTAAGAGACCAGACACTTACCCCAGATCAATTGCTACTCTAGATTTTACACCAGTGTCAATGCCCTGTAATGAACTATCCAAAGTTTTGTTAATAAGGAAAGAGAAAGAAGAGAGTTATTTACCGTTTAAAGCAAACACGTACGTACCAATCCGTTACCATCTAAATCTCAAGAGTGACTGAGTTGCCTTGAGTTGCCATTTCAAAGTGTCTTTCAGGATGGATCCAGGGGCTCTCTGGCTTCAGTGTAAACTCTTTGGCCCTTCAGAGTTCAAAAAGATGAAAAAAATTCCTATGGCTTTGTTTTACTTTCTCCATTCGGCTTCTAAGCCCACATGACCAGCTACCTGACATGTAGCCTTCTCTAGGTTAACTAAGGAGGGGGCAGACACCTAGCAGGACTACAGGCTCTCGGCCCCCATGGTCCTGTGCATCCATGGACAGAAAGGAACAGAAGGGCTGTTTAGATGGTACCGTCTGACACAGACACCCCTGGCAGTGTTCCCTGTAACTGAGCATTACAGTGACTGCCTAGGAGAGATACAGGTGATACCCAGCTGATTAGCAGAGATGAGCCACTCAGAGTGTTGTATTTCTATTGGTGGTGCACATCGACAGATGCCTAAGTGTGCATAATACAATTTATTCCACACAAGGAGGGAAATAATTAGAGGGAACATTGCCCCCCGGTAGCCAACCTGGAGCTTCCTGTGTAGAACTCTGCTGGCCAGGGAGTGTTTGGTACAGACATGAGCACTGTGAGCAGCTGGCCCCTGCTTGACTAACTGCGAGTACCATACCCAGAGGGTTCTGGGGATGGCAGCGTAGCCCAGTGGATTGGGACTCGGCCAAGCAGGGCTCCATTCAAATCTCAGCCGCCAGATCGGTGGCGATCTCAGGTAAGTCGTTTCCCACTGCTCTGTGACTCGGTTTCCCCTCTCAAACTGTCTCTCTCAGTTGTTTCAATTGAGTGTGTCTAAGGGCAGGGGGTGTCCAGTTGCGCAGCGACTTGTTCCGCGGGTGCAGCTCTTCGCTGGGGTGCTAGCACAATGCCACCGGCAAGGGAAATGCTCATTCCCAATACTGACCGCCATCCTGTACGGACCCAAAGTGGCTGGAAAACCAGCTAATCCCACAGGTGTCAGAGCCCAAAGGTGGGGCTGTTGCAAAGCAACACAGGATCCATGACAGCCAGGAATAGGACCCAGGAGTCCTGACCTCCTCCACCCCCAACACCTCCCTTCTCAGGGCATGTGCCAGCCTCTCCCTGACAATAGTTGTGGCAAATCCCACCTGGAGGCCAGGGTGTGATTTCTGTTGGTAGCACTCGGAGAGCCTGGGATAGACTGGCCCACCTGCAAAGAGCTGCGAGGTGGATGGATGTTGTGTAAAACGTTAGGTAACAATATAGACTCAGTGTGAGAAAGGGAAACAGAGGCAAGAGGAGAAATGTATTTGTTCAGGGTAGGGATGTTAGCTAGCGGGTAATAGAATAGTCGACTAACCACGTGAATTCTTAGGGGTTAGTGGACTATTCTATAGTCCCTGGGGGCGAGCCAGCAGCAAGTGCACTCCTACCCTCCTCCTGATACAGAGGCAGCACAGCAGGGTGGCAGCAGCCCCTGTCCGCAGGGGGTCCGAGCTCCCCACAGACAGAGACTACTGGAGTGTTAGGGCCCCCGCCCCCCTCTCTCTGCTACCTCTGATACAGAGACAGAACAGCAGGGTGGCAGCAGCCCCTGTCCGCAGGGGGTCCAAGCTATCCGTGGACAGAGACCACTAGGAGAACAGAGAGTGGGGGAGGCTGCTGCAGCAGGGAGCCTGCTGCAGGGATTCCAGGGGACAAGAGCTGCTTCATGGCAGCCTCCTTTGCCCCCCTTATATCCTCTCTGATAAAGGCAGCAACATGGGGGGGCAGGCTGCACCATGGAGACAGTACTGGGGGGAACTGGCTTTTAAGCTGGCTCCTCCCAACACCAGCTCCTGCTTGCCCCACTTGCTGCCTCTGATACACAGGCAGCAAAGGGAGGGAAACTCGCTTACTCTAGTTGAAGATTGCCTAAACAGTGGCAAAGCTTGGTCACCACCTCAGGCTCTAACCACTAGGCTATACTTCCCCTGGAGGAGAAGAAGCTGGCAGGGCCCGTATCCTGGGGTAAGAGGTGGGTGAGAAGTCCTCCCTTGATTTCTTCCATATCGTTTCCATTGGCAGGCCGGCTCACCTGACACTGCTGGGAGAGGCAAATGGAGTCACTTAACACCTCACTTTCCTCCTTTAATGGGACAGCACCCGACCAGTCCGCAATATGGCAGGGAGCCTTCCTGATCATCATACTGCTCATCGGGCTGCCGGCCAACGGCTTCATTATCTGGCTGACAGGGTGGCGGCTGCGGCGCCGAGGCCTGTCCGTCTTCATCCTGAGCCTGGCCAGCTCCGACTTCCTCTTCCTCTGCGTCATGGTCATGCAGATCATGGAGACCCTACAGGGTAACAACTGGGTGCTGGGTGCCTTCATGTGCCGCCTGCGCCACTTCCTCTTGGATTTAAGCTACCACTGCAGCCTCTTCCTGCTGGCTGCCCTCAGCGTGGACCGCTGCCTGCTGGTGCTGCTGCCCCTGTGGTACCGCTGCCATCGCCCCCTGCGGCTCTCCACCTACATCTGCCTGGGCACCTGGGTGGCGGCTTCCTTGCTCAGCATCAAAGGCTTCGTCTTCCCCAAACTCGTCCTGTTTAAAGACGGGGTACTCGCCTGCTACAACGACCGGGGGAAGTACGAGTGGTCCCTGCGCTTCCTGGAGGTGCTGCTGGAGGGATTCTTCCCCTTTGTTGTCATGGTGACCACCCACGCTGTCACCTTGGCCCGCACCTTGCGGCGCCACACCCGGGCCCCCAGCCAGTTCTACCGCATTGTGGCTGCCACCCTGACCGTCTACGTGCTGCTCAACCTCCCGTTCCAGATCACCCAGCTGCTCTTCCTGGTCGCCTTGGAGAACCAGGAGCTCTACAGTCGCCTCATCCCCTTCCTTATCTACACCGGCTACCTGATCAACCTCAACACTAGCATCAACCCCTACATCTACCTCATCTTCGGCTCCAACCTCTGCACAAGCTGCAGCCACCCCACGACCTGCGACCTTGCCTTAGCCCTCACAGAGGACGTGAGGAAGAGCCCCGGACACACGCCTGAGGCGTCTTCCCCTCTCTAGCCGTCCCCACTCTCCTCCCCCTGCATGGCCCAGGCCGTGCTCTGGCACAGCTCCAGTCACCAACCAAGGGGTTGCTGGCTCCCCTGACGGGCTCTGGCTGCATGGAGGGGGAATGTGCACAATACGAGTTCACTAGTGCAAGGCCTTGTGTAAATGGGTGCAAGATGTGAGCTACCAGGGAAGTCAGACCAGTGCCAGGGCCCTGTTTGCCCAGCCTAGTCATGCTCCTGTGGGGACAGGTTCTCAGTAGGTGCAAACCGGCCCAGTTCCCTGCAGATCGGGGCCTGTGAAGCTCCCAGAACATCTGGCCCTAGGCAGGGCAATACAAACACTGCCATGGCTGCAGCTGCCAACCCACAGGGCCAGCAGACACTGCGGCAAAGGCCTGCTGCCCCTTTAGGCCTTTCTGGGTTCGGCAATCCTGACGTTAGTGGTGGCTCCAAGGTCATGGTGCTTTACTGCAGTGGCCTTCTGCTCACAACTGCCAGAGACCCAGCATTGGGGGTACCTCTGCCCCCCTAGGTCTGCCTCCTTGGGCGCCTGCAGTCTAACCATCCTGACCTGCAGAAAGCAGGCCCGGACTCCTCTTAGCGCACGAGGTTGGGACACAGAAGCTGCAGCCCGGGGACACACCAGGCAGGTCAGAATTGAGGCCCTGGGGCTGTCCTGTGGATCCCCTTCTCCCCACACACACCAGGGGACAGGTACAGCTCACTCTATCATTCCATGGGTGCAGGACACCCCAAAGAGAACCAGGCCCCTTGGCTTTAATTCTGATCCCTTGGGCATGTGCTCCTTTAATTCTGACCTCTTCCGCCCCTCCCCGTCAGTTGCTCCCAGCAAGACGTCCAGTGGCTGCCCACCAGCACCTCCTGCGAGGGACTCAGAGCCACCTGTGACCCTCCCTACTCCCCCGAGCAGGAGCGGAGTAAGAGCGGTGCCCTAGAGATGCACTGAGCTCCTGTCAGCCCAACTCTTACCCTTCGGATCCAGAACCCAGTGAGCCTGGATCTGCTTGGTGCCTCCATCAGGATAAGACAAGAGCTGTGAATTTATTCATTCTGGGGGTACAGGGCCAGGGCCCCCTTGTCCCACACAGGCACCTGGGAGGAGAAATTAAACCCAACATGAGCCTCCAGCTACAAGCACAGGCCCCTGCAGCTTGAGCTAATGCCTCTTCCCCTCTGTTAGCAACAGGCCCAAGCAAGCTTGTAGCTATGGCCCAGGCCACCCAGCAGGGCCAGAGTGCCATGCAGAACCCGCCTAGGTCATCACATTCCCCTCTCCTGCTTGGGCCCCATTGCCCCCCCCCCCCACACCCTACACA